GGCCTTAAGGGCTAAGTATATTGCCCCTGTATCCACCTCAAAGTTTACTGGGGTCCCCTCCACTTCAAAAGTTACCCTGAGCTTGGGGAGGGGATCCGAGCCCCGACTTTCCTAGTCATCCTCCAGAGTCAGAATGGCTGGCTGGCGTGGCTGTCTCTTTCTAGGGCACTCTTTGGCCTAGTGTCCTTTTTCTTTACAGTAGGCACATTGATCTGAGGCCAGAGGTGGCCTCTGGCGTGGGCCCAGGTATCCCTTCCTGTCTCCCTGTTTCTTAATTTCTGGCCTATTTGTTGTTGTGACCAGGACCTTAGTCAATGCCTTAGTCTGTCTTTTGCTTCTTTCATCCTCCCTTTGCTCCCTTTCTTTCTCCCTCCTTTGTTCCTTCTCTTCCTCAGTTTCTCTCTTATAGTATACCTTCTCAGCTTCTCTGACTAAATCTCTCAAAGTCATATCTTGTAATCCATCTAAGTGTCGTAACTTTCTTTTAATATCCAGGGCAGCTTGCCCAATAAAGGCCATCATGACAGATGCCTTTTGATCCTCTGCCTGAGGATCGAAAGGAGTATATCTCCTCTTTGCCTCCATAATTCTCTCTAGAAACATAGAGGGAGATTCATCAGGCCCTTGAATAATCTCTCTTAGCTTGGCCAAATTAGTTGGTCGCCTAGCGGCTGCTTGAAAACCCACTATTAGAGCCCAGCAATAAGTGGACAGATGCTCCCTACCTTCAAAGGTGTTGGGGTCCCAGTTGGGTCGGTTCAAGGGGAAGTCGGCTTCGATTATGTTGGGAAGTTGTGTCGGTCGCCCATCTGATCTGAGGATATTTTTTCCAGCTTACAGGAGGATTCTCTCTTGTTCCTCTGTCATGAAGAGAGTGCCTAGGAGTTGTTGGCAGTCATCCCAAGTAGGCTGGTGTGAAAACATCAATGACTCAATCAGACCTGTGAGCCGGGTGGGGTCCTCAGAAAAAGGGGGATTGTTATTTTTCCAGTTATATAGGTCTGAAGAGGAGAAAGGCCAATACTGGTAGGCTTGCATTTCTCCTCCATGGTTATCATTTATCATTGGCCTGTAAGGACAGAGGGGGAGTATCACAGGGGCTTCAGGGTTTTTAATCATTTTCCGCCGATGAGTTCCTTTAGCCAGGTTAGCTTCCTCCAGGGGAGGAGGGGCTGTGTGTGCTGTGGGGAAGTCATCTGGAGGGCGCTGGGCCGGCTCAGCTTCCTCCAATGGTGGAGAGGCTGAGTCAGCAGCAGGGGAATTAGAGGGTGTTGGGGGTTGGGGGACGAGGGCAGGAGATAAGGAGGAGGAGGAGAGTCCGGTAGAGTCAAATCTTGAGACTCAGGGAGAACAGAGGGTTGAGGAGGAGGAGGAGCAGAGGGTTTGAGAGATAGAATTGTGGGGGAAGGAATAGGAGTGGGGGCAGGGACAAGGAAAGGCTTCACCCATGGAGGAGGAGATTTGCAGAGGTCCTGCCAAGTTAAGATATACAGCTGTTGATCTGGATGGCTATGTAGCCCTGGCTGAAAGACAATATCTATGACTTTTTGAATTAGTGGGAAGTAGAAAGATCCTTCTGGGGGCCATCCGACTCCAAAAGTGGGCCATTCTGAGGCATAGAGAGTCTGCCAGGTCTGGCGTTTTACCGAAAAAGAAAGATTTTGAGCCCTTAAGTGGACTTTGGTCCAGTGATCAAAGGTCAGGGACAGAGGCATTGAAGTGCTCTGTCTCATAATGAAAGATACACAAACAGTGAAAGCAAGGACACACGACACAGACGATAAAGACAGACAGTAAACATTCAACACAAATTTGAGACAGAGACCAGAACTGAGTAGCCGGTAAAACCTGATGGGCTGGCAAACCGAATCCAAAGCAGAATACTGCCGAGTCGAGGAAACTACTGTTCCTCGATTTCCCGAGTCCTCTGGGGCGTCCCCCAGGGACGTGGCCTGTGGCTCTGTGACACGTCTGTCAGCCACCGTCGGAGAGAGCTCACGCTCTTCACCGACAGCCAGTTTGCCAGCCCTAACCTGAAACCTGAAACCAGAATCCAGAAAGAGGCGCCTTACTTACCCCAAGAGGAGCCCATTGGGGGTCCTTCGTCCGCTGCTGCCGGATCTCAGTGGAATCTCCAAATATAAAGGTCGGGCGAGCGTTGGAGGAAGAGACCACCAAGAGACTGTCTCATGCAACAGCAAAGGGTTTATTGGGGGTCCAGCATGCTGGGGCTCAGAGCTCACTTGAATAGAGCAAAGAGCCTTGAGAACAGCTTAAGCAGAGCTTATATACTTTCCTTGGAGAGGGCAGGGAGGGAAGTTACATTTTGCAGTTTGGCAGTTGCGGACAGCTCATTCTGGGAACAAGATTAGCAAAGATTTCAACAGTGTTTTGCTAAGCATATAGAAAAATGGAGTGACAAGTACCTATTTTATTAACCTTTCATTACTTATTAGTATTTCAACAAAATTTGGAAGATTTAAGATTGGTAAAACATAAATAAAATTCGTATGACAAGCTAGTTTCATAGATTTATCTTTTTTTCTTCCTTGTCATTGATAGTTAAATCAGAAATTATACATACAAAAATTTGTAAAGGACTCTCATTTGATATATTTATTTTTCAAATATTCATTGAACTTTTATTTCTTGTAAAGCACCAAAATAAGTTCTGTTAAGAACAAGTAAACAATAAGCTTTAGTGTAAGCTCTATGAAAATAGGGCCCAAATTACTTTATTTATTCTTGTAAGTTTAGTGTTTAAATATTTGTTAAATTGCATTAAATGAATTGAATCAATGAATAATTACACTGGGAATAAATAGTTATACATAATATTAGGAGGGTTTCTACCATTACTGGTAGATCAGATTGGAGATTAAATATAACATGAGTATCCCCTAGGAATTTAATAATTTTTACTGAGAGAGAAGCCCCTCAATAAGGGTGTCACAGAAGCTTTCATAATAGATAATATCATGACATGCAGGTCACCTAAAATTTCCTGTATATCGTGCTCCACATTTAGAATATCCCGAGTGTCCAGTTGCTATGGGATCTAAGCACAATGGCTACAATTGGGTAGTCATCCCCAAATACCACCTCCAGCACTACACAACACCTCTAAATCTCAAAAGCTGAAACACAGAGGTGTTTGTTTACTATCTGTACCATTAACTACAGTATGTATGTCTGAAATGCTGTGAAGTTCAAGTGGGTAATGACAGGAAGGAAACCTAACTCACCTGCTACTGGCTGGGTTTACAGAGATGTTAAGTACTTCCATGACTCAAAGGTAGCTGAGATAACTAATAGCTCTCATTTCTATGCAAGCTAATCAACTTAGTTGAGAGTAGGTTCTAAGAGTAGTGAGTTTAAGACAGAAATTCTCTCTTGGCTGGTGTTAGCACCATCTGAATAGATACAAAGTACCTAGAATTGGAGGGTCATTGGACCCTAAAAGAATATAGCTAGCTGTATCTGGAACCTAAAGGACACTGCCTTATTCAGGTTCTTAATTAGGATGATTAGGGTCAAGAAGTGCAAAACAGGGCTGGGCTACATTTCAGTGTCAGAGCACTTGCCTAGCACATGTGAGGTACTGGGTTCAATCCTTATCACTGCATGAAAATAAATAAAATAAAGGCATGCTGTTCATCTACAATTACAAAAAAATATTTTTTAAAGTATAAACATTGCCAGTAATATCCAGTGAATTCTGTTAGGTTTTGCATTTCTTTGATTGGTCTGGTCTTTCTTCTCAAAGGCACCAATATTTTGGCATCATGTAGATGAAGATAATATGGTGAAGATAATATGGCATGACCACAGTCTTTAAAAATGTTAAATTTCATCCAGAAATGCTTTCACTGACAGTAGTTCAGGACCTCCAAAACCAGTTAAGGAATGTAAATAAAATGCAAATAAATTAAGACATTATTCTCATATCATGACACTTCTAGCCTGCAAGAATGCACCATCTATGAACCAGGAAATGAACCTTCACCAGGCACCAAATCTGACTTCATCTTGTACTTGCCAGCCTCCAGAACTATTAGAAATAGATTTGATGTTTCTAAGCTACTTATTTGTGCTATATTTTGTTATAGTAGCTCAAATGGATTAAGACAGGATAGAAGAGAAGACTGCCTATCCATCTATTGATTCCTGTCCCCTGTTGGTGAAAGTTTGCATGGCAGGAGTGGTTAATTTTCTCACTTTTCCAGATTTACTCATGTATCAGAAAGGCTGGATGGGTTCTATCAGGATTTCCACACAGTAATAGTACCTCTCCATTGGCATGCTCAAGGAACTGATATTGAATCTTGTAGTTGCAGCTGTATGGTGGCAAGCTTGCAGCATGATTGTACCTCATCATTCTAGTTGGGAAAACAACACCTCCATTCTTTTTTTGAGGGCAAGCGGGTACTAGAAATTGAACTCGGGCTCTCAACCACTGTGCCACATCCCCAGCCCTATTTTGTATTTTATTTAGAGACAGAGTCTCAATGAGTTGCTTAGTGCCTTGCTTTTGCTGAGGCTGGCTTTGAACTCACAATCCTCCTGTCTCAGCCTCCCAAGCAGTTGGGATTACAGAAGTACACCACCACACATATGCCACCACACCGCTAGCACCTCCATTCTTGACATCAATGGAAACTGGTTCAAACCTTGTAATTAACTATGCAATGCCTTAAATACAGCGCTACAGTGGGTTTCTCAGGAACTATATAGGAAGTCAACTCTTTTTTTTTGAGAGCAGACTACTGGGAATCAGTCTTGGCCTAGTGAAATTTTATCTATCAGTTCAAAACCACAGCTTAGAAACTCACTCAGTTATCTGTTCATCTTGTGTTTTTTTATTAGCATCTATCATTCCCTTACTGTCATCCTAACAGGATTTCAAGATGAAACCATATGTACAATCTGCTGTATTTATCCAGAAGCCACATATGAAATTTTTACCATTTAAATTTTTTCTTTTTTTTTTTTCTGTGAAGGTGTGACTGATATTACAAAAGATCCAGACTTTGATGGAATCTATGATGAAGACTTGAATGAAGATCCAACATATGATCCCAACAGTCCTGAAGAAAAAGCTGTATTTATGAAATATGCTGAATATATTATGCTAAAGTTGACATTCAGTACCACACAAGTTCAACAATATGAAAATGTCTTTATATTTGATACAGCCTATTGGCTTACCAATGCTATACAATGTAATCAGGATTATCTTGATATCTGTACCTACCAGAGATTACAGCAAAGGTTGTATCTTCAAAAAAAACTTATTCAAAAACACTTTGAGAAGAAAAGTGAAGTCAGAAGAGGCATAGGCTATCTAAAGTTGATATGTTTTCTGATTCCGTTTTTACTGAGTTTAAAAAAGAAGATGAAAGTCCCATACTTAAATGGTCTGCTTCAGCCTTTTTCAGGTAAGATATCACCAAAAGTCAAATATAAGATATACATTAAATATATATTTAAATTCAGTTTTTTCAAGTATGTGGTTCTAGGCATGTAAAATGTTAAGAATAAGAAAACAAAATTTAATGTCTCCAATGTAATGAAAAATATGTGACATACATAATTATTTATATACTTTGCATTTTGTGTTCTCAAAGTGCATTATAGGGGATGGGGTTGTGGCTCAGCAGTAGAGTGCTAGCCTAGCAAGTGCGAGGCACTAGGTTTGATTCTCAGCATCACATAAAAATAAATAAAAGTATTGTGTCCAACTACAAGTAAAAATATATTTTTAAAAAATGCATTATGGGGTTGTAGCTCAGAATTATCTTGATAGCTGTACCTACCAGAGATTACAGCAAAGTATTTTGTAGAGTGTTTGCCTCAAATGTGTGTGGCACTGGGTTCCATCCTCAACACCACATAGAAACAAATAAATAAAATAAAGATATTGTGTCCACCTACAACTAAAAAATAATTTTTAAAAAAATGCATCATGGCTGGTCTTGGTGGCGTATGCCTGTTACCCCAGCGGCTCCAGAAACTGAGGCAGGAGGATAGAGAGTTCAAAACCAGCCTCAGCAACAGAAAGGCCCTAAGCAATTCAGTAAGAACCTGTTTCTAAAATATAAAAAGCAGCTGGGGATACTCAGTGGTTGAATGCCCCTGAGTTCAATCCCTGGGCCCCCTGCCAAAAAAATGGGTTATGTACCTTATATTGATGAAACCATCCACTAATTTTTCAGTCAGAATATTGAACAAATCTAATCCTTGCTGTTATCTTAGAAAATTGTTATTTTAAATAAGTTATATGTATGGTTTCATTACTTTCCAGAAATATAGGCTGGTTATTTTTATCATTTGAGAAATATCCATCTATTTATTTATAGTGTTTCCTTTTACCTAAACTAACTCAGGTAACTTTTTGTTTATTTAACCAAAGATTTCTAATGCACCGAATTTCAATCTTTTGTGATAATTAGGGGTAAAATATCAGTCTTGAGCTCATTCACAGAAATTAGCAAGTAGAATAATACCTTTGAGATCTCTGTAAACTAAAACTACAGAAATGACCAAAATGCATGTTATAAATATATTCTTAATGTCATGTATATAAAGAACATAAGTAATTTTATAAATTGTAATTGCCAAAATTTCAATTTCATGTGGAATTTTTTTAACTTTGCTTATATGAAGAAAATTTAGATCTTCCAAATATGACTGTTGATGTGTTATTAACTTTTTAAATAAAATTTTTGTGTTTGTTTTCATTTTTGGAGATGACAAGGTCAAGACCGAGCGAGAACTGCCTCCATTTATTTATGGTCGAGATTTTAAATGCCAGCATTTTCACTACAAAGAGAATCAATATTTTCATGTTCATGGAGGAATTGAATTTGATATCAGTACCCCTTCAATTGAGAGTGCTTTGGAAGATTTTAAGGTTTAAATTATTATCATTCCTGAGATGGTTTGTTGTTTTACAACTCTTTTTATCCTATTTTTCAACCAGAAAGAGCTTATGTTGGAACAGGCACTGTGTAATTATTCTTACAACTCACTAATTTTTTCACACATTATTTTGACATACATGAATTAAGTAATATCCAAGGAACTATGTTGTATGTCAGGGATAAAGTGACAAATAACTAGGTATGTTTATTATCCTGTCAGAATTACATATTTCCAATGGAACATATTTGTCTCAGAATAGTTAAGATTAAAGTAGAAAACTATGAATATACTGACTAAAATTCTTCCATTTCCCTCCAAGATTAATCTTAGAAAAGACACCTTCTAGTTTGGGAATAGTAACTATTCCCCTGAGATTTCATATAGACATCACACATTTCAATTGTCATTGCTTCTTTACTATAATTTTAATAATTTATTATAATTCTTTTCCTTTTGTGTTGTATCCTTCATTCTCAAAGGAGGGATTGGATGCATACAGTTATTACTACCAGGATTTTCTAAGCTACTATCTTAAAAATTTGTCATTTATAAGTATACAATTTCATTTAAAGTAGTCATAATTTTTAAATTTGTTTAAAGATATGTACTTAGTAACATAACTCATATTTTAGAAAAATTTAGAGAAAATACGGGATTGTGCTGCTAATACGTTTGCAGATGATTCAGGCTACAAAGAATATTACTCAATACCAGTTATGGAATTTCATGGGAAAAGGTAAGGAACTTTCAGTAGTTATTCACACTAACCACATATTGTACATTAGCAGGAAACAGGGAAAGTGTCAAAATGCTTCAGGCTAACTTAAAACCTTATGTTGGTGATCCGAGAACAATAATGGGCCTCATTCAAGGCCAACATCATACTGCCTCAACAAAGTATTGTTATTGTTGTTATTTCTGAACTTTGATACATTCTGTATGTTAATCCTTGGAGTTTATAATTAGCATAGTGGTTAAATTGGAATGGAGATGGGAAGCAAATCCTCTGGAGTAACTGAAAGCAGTAGAGTTGTTATACAACACTTCCATTTCCAAAAAGAATATGGTTTAAAATCCTTTTCTACCAGTTTGTTATGCCTGTCAATTTTTTGAAGTGGAATGTTTTCTCCCCGTATATCTAAGATCTTGTATGTGCTGTGTTCTTGAATTTTTACACTTTCAACACTGAATTTGGAAATATGAGATTTAGAGCTTAGAAGAAACATTTGGATTACAGGTTGAGAATTAAAAGCATATAAGAAGATTTTGTTTGTTTGAAGGTGTGGAGGTAGTTGAGAGGATAGGACCAAGTCTAGAACTCTGGAGCATAGTAACTTTTAAGAGAGATGAGAAGAGGGAGCAAAGGAGTCTGAGAGGGACTGATACAGGTAGATGAGAACCAGGAGTGTGTGACAGCATGGAAGCCAAATGGGGAGAATTTTAAGAATATGGAAACAGGTAAAAAGCATCAAATGCAACAGAGAAAAAAATACTGAGTCAATTTCAGACTGATGATTTAATCAGAGAATTTTAGTGGAGTTTTGGTTAAAGGGTGTACTTAACAAATTTCTAGAGATATATGACCTACCCAAATTAAATTAGGAGGACATAGTAAATTTCAATAAATCAATTGCAAGCAATGAAATTGAAGACACCATCAAAAGTCTACCAACAAAGAAAAGCCCAGGACCAGATGGATTATTAGATGAGTTCTATCAGACTTTCAAAGGAGAAAGAATACCAATCGTCCTCAAATTATTCCATGAACTAGAAAAGGACAGAACCTTTCCAAATTCATTCTATAAAGCTAGTATCACCCTGATACCAAAACCAGACAAAGACACATCAAGGAAAGAATATTTCAGACTAATATCCCTGATAAACAGAGATGTAAAACCTCTTAATAAAATACTAGAAAATCGCATATAAAAACATATTTAAAAGATAGTGCACCATGATCAAGTAGTTCATCCAAGGGATACAAGGTTGGTTCACCATGAGGAAATGAAGAAATGGGTGAGCATCCTGGAAAGGAGATCAGGAAAGCAGACCTGGGAGAGGCAGAAACCACAGGAGGCCTGAAAGAGGGCACAGCCTGAAGGGCTTCAGGATGGGTGTGGGTGGGGTGGGGGCTAGGACCCCAGCAAGGAGCCCAGGCAAGGGACCTAGAGGAGGGCCCATCATTGTTAATAGACTTAAAGACGAGAATCAGATGACTATCTCAGTAGATGTCAAAAAAGCATTTGGCAAAATACAGCAACAGTTCATGTTCAAAACACTAGAAAAATTAGGGATAATAGGAATATACATCAACATTGTAAAAGCTACATATGCTAAATTCAAGGCCAACATCATTCTATATGGAGAAAAATTGAAAGCATTGCCTGTAAAAACGAATAAGTCAGGGATACCCTTTTTCACAACTTCTGTTCAATATAGTCTTAGAAACTCTACCCAGAGCAATTGGACAAAAGAAAGAAATTAAAGGGAGAAAAATAGGAAAAGAAGAACTCAAACTATCCCTATTTGCTGACCACATGATTCTCTATTTAGAAGACCCAAAAATTCCACCAGAAAACTTCTAGAACTCACAAATTAATTCAGCAAAATAGCAGAATATAAAATTAACACCCATAAATCAATTGTAATCCTATACATCAGCGATGAATCAACTGAAAGAGAAATTAGGAAAACTATCCCATTCACAATAACCTCAAAGAAAATAGAATATTCAGGAATTAATCTAACAAAAGAGGTGAAAGACCTCTATAATGAAAACCACAGAACACTAAAGAAACAAATTGAAGAAGACTTTACAAGATGGAAAGATCTCCCATGCTCTTGGATAGGCAGAATTAATATTGTCAAGATGGCCATACTACCAAAAGCACTGTACAAATTTAATGCAATTTTTATTAAAATTCCAGTGATGTTCTTTGTAGAACTAGAAAAAGCCATCATGAAATTCATTTGGAAAATTAAGAGGACCAGAAAAGCCAAAGCAATCCTTAGCAAGAAAAATGAAGCAGAAGGCTTCACAATACCAGACCTTAAATTATACTATAGAGCTATACAAGAACTATGGGGAAGTGGCAAGCACCTCACTAGGGGATTCTTATTTCTGCCCATGAGGGTGTAAATCACCAGAGAAAATGTCAGATATAATTAGTGAAGAACAAAAGACAAAAAAATTCAGAATTATAGTTTTAAGGTAGAGTGCTTGATAAATCCAGCCCAAACAGGAGCTGGAGCTAGAAAATTTAAAAATTACTCCCATCCATGTTTTTTTTTCAAAGTCAGGAATAAGGTTTCATGGGTGGAGTCTTGTTTTATGATGTCTTGCAGTCAGCAGGTTGATTGGCATCTTAGCAGGTAACACCCATCTCTGAGAGGCCGTGTGGCTACAGCAGGTCACTGCATCTCCGGTTCTGTGGGACCTGGGGCAGAGCTTGAACAGGGCTCACAATGTGTCTGGGCAGTCTTGGCCGGAGGAAATTTCCACTAGAAGTTCTCAGACACCAGATTCTCCTATTCACTAGGATGTGATGCCCATGTAGTCCACACATAGCCTACAAATGGCTCTCAACAAAAAGGAGCATGGTATTGGCACCAAAACAGATATGAAGACCAATGGTATAGAAAAGAAGACACAGAGATAAGCCCACATAAATACAGTTATCTCATACTAGACAAAGTCACCATAAACATACAGTGAAGAAAAGACAGTCTCTCCAACAAATAGTGCTGGAAATCCATGTGTAACAAAATAAAATTGACATGTAACAGAATGGGAAAAAAAATCTTTGTCACATGAACCTCAGATATAGCACTAATCTCCAGGAAATATAAAGAACTCAAAAAACTTAAAACACACACACCAAAAAAAAAAACCCACCAAAAACAAATAACACAATCAATAAATGGGCATAGGAACTGAATAGATACTTCACAGAAGAAGAAATACAATCAGTCAACAAATAATGAAAAAATGTTCAACATCTCTACCAATTAGAGAAATGCAAATCAAAACTACTCTGAGATTCCATCTCACTCTAGTCAGAATGGCAATTATCAAAAATACAAGTAACAAGAAATGTTGGCTAGGATGTCAGGGGGAGGAGTACATTCATACATTGCTAATGGGACTGCAAATTGGTGCAATCACTCTGGAAAGCAGTATGGAGATTCCTCTGAAAACTTGGAATGGAACCACCATTTGACCCAATTATCCCACTCCTAGTTTTATACCAAAGGACTTAAAATCAGCATACTACAGTGATGAAGCCACGCCAATATTTATAGCAGCTCAATTCACAATAGCTAAAACTATGCAACCAACTTAGGTGCCCTTCAACAGATGAATGGATAAAGAAAATGCAGTACATATACACAATGGAATATTACTCAGCCTTAAAGAAGAATGAAATTATGGCATTTGCTGGTAAAAGGATGAAACTAGAGATTATCATGCTAAGTGAATAAGGCAATCCCCCCAAAACCAAAGGCCAAATATTCTCTTTGATATGCAGATGCTGACTCACAATAGGAAAGGGTCGGGGAGAGTGGAGGTTCATTGGATTGGATGAGATGAATGAAGTGGAAGGGAGGAGAGTTAGGAATGGGAAAGACAGTAGAATGAATTAGACATAACTTTCCTATGTTCATATATGAATACACAACCAGTATAACTCCACATAATATACAACCACAAGAATGGGAAGTTATACTCCATATATGTATGATATGTCAAAATACATTCTACTGTCATGTATAACTAAAAAGAACAACAACCAAAGAGAATGTATTTACCATGAGTTGAAGGGTATATGGGGAAAAGTTAATGAGATGGAGAGGTAAAAGTAGAGTTTATTAATTTGTTTCAAGATGCAGGACAATGAGGAAAATAAGAGAACTAAGGCATAGGGAAATGCAGGATAAAGGATAAAAGGTGATCTTCCTATTGAATTGCCTGGGTGAATATATGAAACTAGAGCTGAAGTCAAAGACCATGTGACTAGTGTCCTCCATGATTTTGAAGGATGGAGGTCAGCACATGGATGGAGATATTTTTGAGGATATGTTCACTTTTATTTGAGAGTGTCATTCCACCATTCATGGAATCCACATACCAGATCTCATGCCTCTGGAATAGCCAGGTAGTGCACATCTCTCTTCAGGTGAAATTTCTGACTCACAGACTGAGCTCCCATTGATACACTCTATCTTTTCCCAAGCTGAATAATGGCCTGGAGACATTTATATGTAAACCTTTACTCTTCTGGTTCTGTCAGGCTTCTGGGACACCAGCATTCCTGGGACTACAGGGAAGCAGGTAGGATACAAGTTACACTTGGTGAGAGGTTGTTTGGGTGTAGGAGTGTGGTTGAGATATGCATACTGCCACTGTAAGAGACTGTCATGTTGTTGCAATGGGATTTCATAGTGGAACTGTTTCTCTAGTTTCTGACTAAAGCATGTTTGGTCACCAACGTTGGTGAATGATAGGTTAACTGATATGAATTTTCAGAACCAAAATACGCTTATTTTTTTCTGACCCCAGCCAGCATGAAGTAAAAGGAAGAACCCACAAGTAGAGAGATCTAATAATATCTTCTTGTTCTCAATACCAATTACTAGAGGACCTCAGTCCCCTATAAAATCCAACCCCCATAAAAATATTCCTAGAATCTCATATACTAATGGGTGAGTATTCTCAGCTACCATGAGATATTTTCAATTTCCTCCTTTCCTGCCCTGGCTTCTTGTGATCCACCACTGGGTCTCCAAAGCCCAATAAGCCCCAATAAGGCAAACACAATGCCATTGTTATCTCTGACACCCTAGCTTCTGGTTGTGGGGCTGGAGTCATCTCTAGGGCCAGCTCCTTTTGACGCCTGGGAAGTTGAATGCATTGACTGTGAGACTTGTTAAAACCTATTCAATGAAGTAAGAATTCCTTGCCCAATTTATTGGTTTCAAAGATGTGCTGCATCAAAACTCTAATAATTTGGTGGAAAACTGCTTTTTTCAGTCATTTTTCTTGTGGTTGTTCTTTTCTGTAGTGTGGAAATCATTCTAAATTGGGGATGGACTAGAGAGTAATCCAAATTATTGAAAGCATGCCATCTCAAAATCTTTTCCCTTCTTTGTTTCTAGGGGCATTTTTATTTGGCCAAGTTCATAAATCCTGATGTTCTCTTTCCTCAGAATGATTTGTTTCTGCCAGGTGGGGTGGTACATACCTATATCCCCAGCTTATTCAGGATGACAGTAGACCTAGGTGGGATGGTCACTTGAGCCCAGAATCTTTGAAAACAGCCTGGGCAACTAGTGAGACCCCATTGAAAAAAAAAAAAAAAAAACTTATTTCTTAGGAGGATCTTGGTCTCTTATGAAAATAAAACTTATTCCACTTGGTCCTGCAGTCATACCCAGAAACATCTGTATCATACATTCGTTTTAGACTCTCCCATCATACCAGAATCAAAAAAAAAAAAAGAGGGAGATACAATCAGATATCTAGTGATTTGGCAGTATTTAAGAGCTGAGAACACAAAGTGTAAAGATGAAAATTCCTGAAGCGAATTAATTCTATTTGGAGAACATACCAGCACCATGAAGCTGTTTTACTGTTGGAGAGTAGAATTAGAAATTAACTTAATGTGACAGATGTGTCCAGAAAGTGTAATATTATAAGCTCCTCACCATATTCTCCAGCTAAGTGCTTATTCCTAGTCTGACAAAAGTGGGGGGAATTATTTTTAAAGTTAGGCTTTCCTAAAGTCCCTGCTGATAATCACACTAAGGATTGAGTAAGAACATTAGAATGTTACCACGCAGTAGTCATATGAGAGCTACCTGGCTGAAGTATTCAGGCACTAACCTTTTAGTATTGACTATCTTGGATTTCTGTGCTTCTAATGATCATCTCTTTGTGTGCAGTGTTACTGTTGTGATGAGCAAAATGTGCGACTTATGCAGCTGAGGGGGAGAAATAAAGAATGTCCATGTGCTTCTGCCCTTTTCAAAGCTTTATTCACTCAAATCACTCAATAAAATTTCACTCTGTAGATTCTTAATCAAGAAAATGACAATCCTTAATGCTAGGCACTGCAATAGACATAATCAGTTCCCAGCAAACAATTCTAGATTAATTCTAAGCACTGTAAACACACTTAATCATGACAGGCTCATGACAGACATTCCCTCTGCATGCTAAGCTCAAGTGCCATATCTAAAGTCTCAAGCCTTAGGCTTTAAGTCCAACAGATGCACACTCACTCAGACCATGGTGATCAGATCAGGAACCAAGGCAGTCTTCTCCTGGGGTGGAGCTGATGGCTGGCTGAGGAGCGGTCATAGGGAGAAATCCTCTTCTCACCAGAGTCAAGAGACTGCTATAGAGTTTGAGAGAAGTGAGAACAACACAGGGGATCAGGCTGATAGAAGAGCTAGGATGTCAGTCTAGGACCTCATCAGGCCCTTAGGCTTGTGTGCAGCAGTGTCGGCTGGCTGAATGTCTGTTCATTTGCTCCATCATTTTTACTAAATTTTGGGACTTCTGACCACCCTTTCAAATCCTATCAGCTACTACCAGATTTCTCAGTGACATTATTCATCCTGAGGTTAAAGCATCTGGTCTGGTGGTCCCCACCCTGATTTTCTTGCTTTTCTTATCAGGGCAAGAGTAACAAGCTAGAGACTTCACTCAAGTTTTTCAGGATGGAGAGAAGTGACTCATCTGTGCCTGGGGGCCATACTGGAGGGCTCCATAGGTGTGCTTGGTGACACTTTAAAATGGAGTTGCTTAGGCTAAGGCCTAAGGCCATCCTTATGGTTGGCCTACTGTGTACTGTTGTGCATCCAACCCTGGGAGTTATAAAATTCTCTTGGTCAAAGCTCACAGGGTACAGTAACCTTTACCATCTGTTGCTTTTTCAGTTTCTGGACTAGGAGCTATTCCTACAGGTTCTGGATATTTTGTTTGTATTAGATTACTAAGCAGAATTTCTAGGAGGAAATGGTGCACGTTCCCTTAGTGTTTGTTGAATTTCTAAGTCTTTTCATTGCATGAGCAGTGATCTTAAGAGTACCAGGGTCTTAAAGGTGGTGAACAGCACCTGTTCCCATAGCAATAACAGCCAGCATTAGCCCCCAGAAGAAACAGATGAAAAGACAGGTTGCTGGCACTGTAATTCTCATGGAATTGGATGATGTAGAGCTGGATAAAGCTGGTTCAAACAAAGTTCAAGGACAGTCTCAGTATGACTTCTGATACCTAGATCTATGGAGGCAATCTTTGGGAACATAGGGTACCCACTTAGGGGTTTGTAATATTCTCTTTTATCAGCTTGTACAATACCAAGGGAAAGTGGGCTCTTCTAAAAATTTAGCTTAAAAATCTGATACAAATTGAGCATGCACATTTGAACCATACAGTTAAAGCCCTTGAACCCATCACCACTATCATCTGAAGAGATTACCAGCCCTCAAATCTAAGTAAAATTTGGGATATCTGCTCCTTGATTTTGGAGGCTGGAATCTAATAAGCTAGTGTAGTCCCCATTGATGAGGGAGGCACTTCACACTAGTGAGGACCTAGGGACAAGTGAAAAGCCCCTCTACCTGGTCTGACACTATATCTGTGAGATGTGTATTAAGATATCCTTTATATTGTTGTGGTCTAATTTCCTTTTATGGGGAGGTAGTGGTGAATAAAAAGAATGATACCATCAAATAAAATGAACAGGTCCTCAGACATACCTTCATTCATATACTGAGATCTCTTATGTTGAGAAAATTGGATTTGAAGTGAAGGTCAAGGAAAAGCCTAGGAGCCTCTGAATAATTCATAACAGAGCCTTGCCTACAACCTTCCTGTAACTGAACCTTTAGGCCCAATTATCCTCTACAAGTCAATAAACAATGAGTTTCCCTAGCATAGTCATTAACTTACTACCCTAGGAACAAATTTCTCAGCAAAACTGATAGCCCCTGGGCTAAAGGAGAGGGGAGTCACTGTCAAGAATACTGTATTAACAGCAATAAGTAGTTGCATTTTGAGGAAAAACCTAGGAAACCTCAAGAGGCATCTTACTGACAGGGTTGGCCCCTAAAGGTCTCAACGTTGAAACCTGGACGTTTAGAAAGGTACCTCAAGGGAAAGTGGAAGAAGACCACCAGTTTTCTGATAATAAGCAATCCCAGGAACGAGGTAACTATTCCATTCTGTTCCAGAGTGATAGGGACCCAAGGTTGTCACAAGCCCCAACCTCATATGCCAGGGACTCAGTGATTTGGGGGCTTTCTTCTAGTTTACAGCATGCTCCAGTGGGTAAAAGCCACTGGAGTCATTAACCAAAGCATTATGCTAGGTAAGACTCAAGGTTAACCCTTGAAAGAAAAAATTGGGTTATGGGACATAATTAGGTTAAAAAAATTGGAGGAGAAAAAGCAGACAGAATATAAACCTGGAACTCTTTTTATCAGTTTTGACTTTGAAGCAATGCTGCTAATCTCTGACATGGGAAGGACAGAGTCAATCCAAAGGGTCTATATGGGGAAGATAACTTTTTATATAAAGATTTGGTTAATAATGGTTAATAACTGTAGTTAATATATTTATAATCAAGTACAATTTAAACTATATTATTATAAAAAATATTTTATCAGCATAGAAACAAGTAGCAAATCATTTCAGAGTTAGAAAAAAACATCTTTTTTCTTTTTTCTTTCTATAGCTACTATGTGATCTATTTTGATCTTGAAATTTTCTATCAACAATTATATAAGACACAGTGGTGGGGAGCTATAAATGAAATAGTGAACACTTTAAGAGTGAAAAGACTTCCGCTGACAGATGCTCAATTACATGAACAATTTAAAAAAAAGTTTGGCTTCAAAAAAGCTATAAAATGCAAGGTATTTAAGTAACTACCACATAATTTTATAAGAAGTTATCAATAAATATTATCTCAAATTTCTTAGGAATAAATAATAGGCTAAATAAAATTCCTCAATCCAAAATAAAAATTCCATATTTTAGTAGCTATACATTTGTGATTTATAAATTTTGAACATAGTATTAAACAACCTATTAATGATCTAGATTGTGATTACTATTTATTGATTGCTTATTTTATATGCCTGTCACTATTATAAATTTTAAAGAAACTTTTTTAAGTTGCTAGTTTTGTTATCATTCCTATTACACAAATGAGAAAGAAATTTGAGATGTAGAGGGTTAAGAATCTTTCCCAAATTCACACATTAGTAAATGTCAGGACCTGACTCCATTCTAGAAATGAAACCCAAGGAACAAACCTAACAGCCTGTATTAAATTTCTCATGTCTATTTAACAAACCTTGACACAGTTTCTGGAACTGATCAATGAAGCTCACCAACTTCAAAGGTAGACTGGTATTTGCTTTCCATTTATTCATTTTAATGTCCATAATTTTAAAATTTAATAACCAGTTTATTTTTTAAAATTTAGTAGTCAGAATGTCTAAAAGAAAAGCATGACATTTTAAACTCTTCATTTTGAGACATAGAGCAAAGAAAACAAACTATTTCCATAGCTATATATTCCAAGTTTCTGGACATCTAAGTTAGATTTTCCTTAAATTAGAAAAAGGAATCCAGTGATCTATTTGCTTTTTGTTTTGTTTTGTACTGGGGTTTGAACCCAGGGGCACTTAACCACTGAGAAATACCCTCAGCCCATTTTATTTTTTATTTTGAGACAAGGTCTCTCTAAATTGCTTAGGGCCTCACTAAATTGCTGAGGCTGGCTATGAACTTGTGATCCTCCTGCCATAGCCTCCTAAGCTTCTGGGATTACAGGCACATGCCACCATGCCCAGCTCTATTTGCTTCTAAAGTATTTTCAGAAAAATATTTGTCTTCCCTGTTTTCATTCTTTTCAAAGGAGGATCTACAACTTACCCTAAATGGTAAAAAGGAAGGAAAGAAGGAAGGAAGGAAGGAGGAGAAAGGGGGGAAGGGAGGGTAGGGAAGGGAAGCCAAATATTTATTTTTAAAAGATCCCAGTGTTTCTTTATAGTCTAACAACTTTCAAGCTTTGCCCAGTGAGAAATTTTCATTTGGATCTTGTGAAAATTCTACTATAATTGAGCAGTATTTATGTGATCCTGTTAATGTATCTTGGTTTTTATTTTCTTAAAGCAAACCTAAGGTATAATTTTAAAAAACTAATTCTGGCCTTCTTAATAATTTTAGAGTATCCCATTTGGTTTGAAGGCTGCTGTAGAAAGAGGGTTATCTGCTGTTTTCCATACATTTAGCCGAAAAACCTCAAGCTCAACAATCAATGTTTCAGATGAAGCAGGTTATGCCATCTTCCATCATGCTGCTCTGCACAACAGAGTGCCTATTATATGTCAACTGTGCAATGCTAAATTCAACGTCAACCAAAGACGCTTTATTATGTTCAGCCAAGGTACTATAATGTTTTTAAACCTAAAATATTTCTCTTTTTCCTTGTTCAGCATTACCAATGCATGTTGATTTTAGAGCAAGGTTAAAATCTGGTATTCGTTTCTCTTGCAGAGTTTGGGGTTTTGTTTAATTTATTGAAGACGGTCTCCTTTTACTTTTCTATCACTTGTTGGTAGCTTATATAGTACTGTTTGTTGTGTTGTCCCTCATTGGAATATACACTTTATAAAGGGCAAGGATTTGGTCTACTTTGTTGCCATGGTTTCCTAGTGTTCAGAAGAAAGCTTAGCATTAGCTAGTTCCTCAGAAAATATTTATTGAATGAATGGATAGATGGATGGATGGATGCAGGATAGTATTTGATAAGCACTGGCATAATTAATATATACTGATGGACTATAGAAACTGAGAGGAAAAAACAGATAAATATGAGTATTAGGTTCCAGTAGAACATTCTTATCCTTTTAATTATTAAATTATATTTAATAATAAAGCATTCTTTTTTAATAATATAAGAAGACTAGCTTGGTTTAAACCTTAAAATGCCATTTTTTGCTACATATTTTTATATTCACTGGAATAAATTTAAGTAGCTGGAAAAATAATAAAAGTTGAAAATAAAAGTGGTGGTTCTCTATAACTTAAAAGGGAAATAATGATAAATTGTCAGAAATGACTAATGCAACAATATTAACAAAAAGAAATGGTGATGTTTATATTGCAGTGAGGTCAGTTAATAAGCTGTGCTAAATTTTTTCATATGCCACAATAAAATATTATGCTTTAACAAATTCTTTCCTCTAAACTGGGCATGGTGGTGCACACCTATAATCCCAATTGCTCGAGAGACAGAGGCAGGAGGATCGCGAGTTCAAAGCCTGCCTATTATGGTTTAGATGTGGTATCCCCCAAAAGGTTACATGTGAGACAATGCAAGAAGGTTTTGGAGGAGAAATGACTGGGCTATAGCTTTAACCTAATCAGTGGATTAATCCCTGATAGGGTTAATTGAGTGGTAACTGGAGGCAGATGTAGTATGGCTGGAGGAAGTGGTTCATTGGGGGCGTGGATATGGGGTATATACTTTGTGTCTGGAGAGTAGAGTCTCTCTGCTTTCTTATCACCATGCAAGCTGCTTCATTTCTGCCATACTCTTCCACCATGATGTTCATCCTCACCTTAAGCCCCAAGGATGGGACCTGGCTGTCTATGGACTGATACCTCTGAAACTATAAGCCTTCTAATAAACTTTTCCTCCTTTGCAATTGTTCTGATCAGATCTTTTGGTCACAGTAGCAAAAACCTGACTAAAACACAGCCTCAGAAACTTAGTGAGACCCTTTCTCAAAAAAAAATTATAAAAAAGGAGTGGGGATGAGGCTCAGTGATTGAGTGTTCCTGGGTTCAATCCCCAGTACCAAAACAAAACTAAACAGAAAAAACAAATTCTTTATCAGTATGACTCAAATGTCTTCTATAGCTCAGTGGTAGAGTGCTTGCCTGGCATGTTCAAGACCCTGGGTTTAATCCTCAGCACTGAAAAAAGTTTTTTTTATATGGCACTCAGATTGATCAAATTCAAATAAAATATTCCATATTATAGAGTGAACCTTGTTAAAATAAAGCACAGTTCAGTTAAATTTAAATGAAATGGGTAGCCCATAATTTAAAGATGTTATCTTTAAAACTTTTTTTGAGTAGGTACTGGGGTTTGAACCCAGGGACATTCTACCACTGAGCTATACCCACAATCCTTTTTATTTTTTATTTTGAGACAAGATCTTTCTAGGTTGTTTAGGTCCTTGCTAAGTTGTGGAGGCTGCTATGAAGTTTTGATTCTTCTGCCTGAACATCCCAAGGCACTGGGATTATAGGCACATATCACCATCCCCAACTCTTTAAGCCTTTTTTTTTACTGTGAAAAGAAACTTTGGCAAATTGAAGTCTTATTCATCCTCTAACTTCTTAGATTTATTTCTATATGTTGAGAATTGAGTAGATATTGAACTATGAAAAATGTATAACTCTATTGACAATATTATTGTTTAAACAACACAAAATTATCCCAACTATGGGTTTTGACAAGCCACTTAAAAAGTAGTTTCCAAATGGTCTGATGTGATTTCAGGTACAAACAGTGTGCTAGAAGGGCTGGACCAGAAGTCACATTCGGCACTGTTTGATGTTATCCTGCCTTTTATATCTAAATATAGTCTTTTTATTTACAGACATCTTTCTGACTAATTTTAGGAAATTGTTATATATGAATAATAATCATGTTTCTATGTGTGTTACCTTTTAAAACAGAGCCATCCAAAATGGACATGAAAAAAGAAAGAAATGGTAAGACATAAGATAAAGTATTTTTAAAGGCGACTGTATATATTAAAACTTTTATAATAGTATATAATCTGTAAAAGGCTTTGTCCCTTGAGAATGTCACATAATAATGTTTCATATTTATTTTGAAGTATAAATTTTTATGTGCATGGTTATTTGTTAATACTCCTCATATATTTTGGGTGTTCTCTCTCTCTTTCATCTGTGAAATTTGTTGTCACCTCCATTTATTTATTTATTTTTATTTTTTTCATTCTGTCTTTTATTTTATTTTATTTTTTATTGGTTGTTCAAAACATTGCCAAGCTCTTGACATATCATATTTCATACATTTGATTCAAGTGGGTTATGAACTCCCATTTTTACCCCAAATACAGATTGCAGAATCACATCGGTTACACATTCATGTTTTTACATAATGCCATATTAGTGACTGTTGTATTCTACTACCTTTCCTATCCTCTACTATCACCTCCATTTATTTTTTTATAAGTTCAAATCCCTAAGTTGTTTTTACACCTTACAAAAAGCAGTTAATTTAGATACTATGTTATCCAGTGTCAGTAATGATCTACGAGGTATGAGGAATGATCATCTTTTGCTTCCTTTTTAAAAAATTTTTAAATTTTGTGTTTCTGAGGATTGAACCCAAGGCCTCAAGCACTCCACTGCTGAGCCACATCTCCAGCTCTGGAATGATCATTCTTGTATGAGGCCATAGATTTGATATAAATATTGGGTATGGAGAATAACAGAAAAATATGATGTTTCACCTTTCTCTATTAAGAAACTGGACCTCCACACTCTAAGATAATTCAAGGAGAGTTTATTTATAAATAAACCACTTTAAAAGATCTGAAATGACAAGGGAAGGGGATAGTTACTTGAACTGATCACCTTACAGTGGTGGAGGAATACAGCAAACCTGAAATGACCTTAGAGAGGGAACTGGGCCTCATTCTTAGGCCTCCTCTGATTTCCTGCCAGTGCTCCCCATTGGCAGACCCTGACAAGAAACCAGAGGATAAGGGTTACTAAATCTGCAGGGGCACAGAGCATGGTAGTAAAGGGACATTAATAGACCCAGAGGGGAAAAGGGAAGTGTACCTGGCTCACCTACCCTATAGGAAATTACAGTGAGTAACAACAGTGTGCTTCCCTCTTTCATGCTTTTTGTTTTCCAAGTATCACTATGTCTACCTTATATAAAATTAATTGTATCTTCTTCACTCGAATTTAGTTACCTCAAAGGACAAGGGTTTGGTCTCTATTGTTTACCAGAGTTCCCTAGGACCCAGAATAATGCCTAGCCTTAGTAGGTGCTCAGGAAATAATTGTTAAATGATTGCATGGTAGTTGAGTACAGGTAGCTTTTGATGTCACTGGCATAGTGTGTACTATGTGTGTACACAGTGTGTACTATGGAAATTTAGAGGAGTAGATAAATATGGCTCTTGGTCCCAACTACAAGGTTCACAGCCAGAGAATAGTGTTTTTAGACTATATAAATACCTTCATAACTTTGCTGATTCTAGTGTATCTTAGGACAGCATTTCTAATCCTCACCATCATCTTCATTGTAGGCTCCATAATTCTCTGTTTTATGTAGGGATCACCCAGGGATCTTGTTAAAATGCTAATTCTAATTCAGAGGGACAAGGGTGGAAACCAACATTTTGCGGTTCTATTAAGCACACTTTCAGTAGTAAAGGGGGAAATAAGAATTGGATTCTTTCCTTGAGGTTGTACAGAAATTTTCTTTTTTTGAGAGGAAACAGTATTTGTGGGGAGCCTGGCATATTTCTGGGGGTGGGGGAAAGAACTTTTCAGGTCATTTTTATGTTTCTCCTGCTGAGAATAGCTAACTGATTTTCATGGATTGAGACCAACCATGATTGAGGCTATTCAGAAATCTCACTTACAAGCTAGTGTAGCAGACTTTTTTTTTTTCTTTTTGATACTAGGGATTGAACTCAGGAACACTTGACCACTGAGCTGTCACATCCCCAGCACTATCCCCATCCTCACTTTTGCTGAGGTAGGTTTTGAATTTACAATCATCCTGCCTCAGACTCCTGAATCACTGGGGTTACACACATGCATCATCATGCATGGCATATTAGCAGAATTTTGCCATACATTTTCCCCATCTTCCTGTCTGACTACCAACATTTCCACCCTCCCTGTGAGGCCTTTTTACTCCATTGAAGAGTGCTAGCTTGACGTGCTCCAGTTTGGATTTATGGGTAACACATCTCCTCAACACTCAGCAGATTTTCAAAGTTCCAGCTTCAGTCTGACATATGCCAAGTCTTACTCCTGCCTGCACATGTGCTGATACCCCATTTTTACCTAATTTTCTCTCTTGAACATAGTGGTAGCTAAATATGGATTCCCTTGGACATGTTCTGAACATATTCTGGAGAGATTCCAAAATCCTTCTAGAGAAGTATGTTAATCAGTTTTATGTTACTGTGACAAAATACCTGAGAAAAGCAACATAAAAAGATGATTTGTTTTGTCTCATGATTTCACAGGTTTTGGTCTACAGTTAGCTGGCTTCATTGCTTTTCATCCTTTTGCAAGGCAGGACTTTATGGCTGCCAGGAGCATGTGACAGAGGAGGCTGCTCATCTTATGGTGGCCAGGAAGCAAAGAGAAAGAGAGAAAGACAAAGGTCTAGGGTTCCAATATCCCCTTCAAGGGCATGTTCCCAGTAACTACCTTCCTTCCAGTAGGCACCACTTTTTTTTTTAATTTGTTCTATTTAGTTCTATATGACAATAGAATGCATTTTGACACATCATACATAAATGGAGTATTGTTAAACCATGACGTAAAGAGAAAACCACTGACTCCAATTTTAAATCAAATTAAAGCAAACTTGTAATTCTGGCCAGGACTGTCTCGTCTGAAAACTCTGGGCTAGAGAACAGTATCCCAGCTCTTTAGGAGCATACTTTTATAGCACAAAAAGTTGCAAAGGCAAGAGGTGTCTTGAGAATTTACAGACAACAGGATTTTGACAAGCATAACACAAAGGCAGATAGTAGCTTAATGATCTACATGGCTTAACAATTCAAGGTAGGGAATAAATTTAGATCCCAGCATCAGAATTTATGAGGTGCCACTGAGGTTTCAGAAAGTGTTGTTATCTGGTCAGGGAAAGCCAGGCATGGGTGAGTTCAAGGCACGGACAGGAATTCCAAACAAGTTTAGAAATCACAGTAATTTATACTAAACCAGAAATTAACTTTTCATGACTTTGTGACAAGATGGCTCACAATCTTAAGGTGGAATTAGACTGGGTTCATCAGTTTAATTTCTCATTCTTTTCATTGTACATGATATAGAGTTACACAGGTTGTGTAATCATATATGCATATAGATAATATTTGATTCATTCTACTATCATTCCTACCTGTATACCTCCTCCTCTACACTCACTCCCCTTGGTCTAATCCAAAGTACCTCTATTTTCCCTAGCCCCCACCCCCTTATTGTGAATTAGCATCTGCATATCAGAGAAAACATTCAGCCTTTGATTCTTTGGGATTGGTTTATTTCACTTACATGATATTCTCCAGCTCCATCCTGTTGAAGTATAATATTAGAGAAGCACACCAAGGCAAGCGTATAAATCAGGGTTTATTTAAAAAGGGGTAACATAGATTCTCCCAGGAGGGAGAAGGGTCCATAGCTGGTATTTTGGTATCACGAGAAGTGAGGCATTATGCCCTTTTTTATATGTCCTAGGCTTCCTTTGTTCTGCTGCTCTCTTCCCCTTATCTTTCTCTTTCCTGCATACATGAATAGATCCAGGAGATGCTTGATGGGATGGCCAAAAGGTGGGAAACAAGTGGCTGAAGGGGGAGAGCTGATAGGATGGAGCAGCCCAGGACACATTAATTAAAACCCTTTACAACTCAATGTAGGGAGGGGCAATTCCTGGGATAGGTTACTTTAGCAACAGATTGGAGCAGGGGCAGGTTATCTTGATATGTTGGAGGGCTCTGAAGGCATTTCATTCCCTCAAATGGCAATCTCCAACTTCTCTGACTCACTCAAATTGGCCTCCTTGATCTGACCTAACTTGATTTACCTATTTATACTAAACTGCCTGTCTAATTCTGGCTTCAATGCTATGATTTCATTCTTATTTAAGGCTGAGTAATATTCCATTATGTATATGTACTACATTTTCTTTATCCATTCATCTGTTGAAGGGCATCTATGTTGGTTCATAGTTTTAGCTATTGTGAATTGAGCTGCTATAAACATTGGCGTGGCTGCATCACTGTAGTATGCTCATTTTAAGTCCTTTGGTATAAAACTAGGAGTGGGATAATTGGGTCAAATGGTGGTTCCATTCCAACTTTTCAGAGGAATCTCCATACTGCTTTCCAGAGTGATTGCACCAATTTGCAGTCCCATCAGCAATGTTTGAGTGTACTCTTCACCCCCCACACATCCTGGCCAACATTTCTTGTTACTTTTATTTTTGATAATTGCCGTTCTGACTGGAGTGAGATGGAATCTCAGAGTAGTTTTGATTTGCATTTCTCTAATTGGTAGAGATGTTGAACATTTTTTTTATATATTTATTGACAGATCATATTTATTCTTCTATGAAGTGTCTGTTTATTCCTATGCCCATTTATTGATTGGGTTATTTGTTTTTTTGTTAAGTATTTTGAGTTCTTTATATATCCTGCAGATTAACGCTCTGAGGTACATGTGGTAAAGATTTTCTCTCATTCTATAGGCTCTCTCTTTATGTTGATTGTTTCTTTCATTTGCTGTGAAGAAGCTTTTTAGTTTGACTCCATCCTATTTACTGATTCCTGATTTTACTTCTTGTGCTTTAGGAGTTTTGTTAAGTCAGTTCCTAAGCTGACATGATGGAAATTTGGGCTTACTTTTTCTTCTAGTAGGCATAGGGTCTCTGGTCTAAAGCCTAGGTACTTGATCTGCTTTGAGTTGAGTTTGGTGCAGGGTGAGAT